GGCGTTGTACTGCCTGCGCCACCGCTCCCAGGCGTTGTACTGCCTGCGCCACCGCTCCCAGGCGTTGTACTGCCTGCGCCACTGCTCACATGCATTTCCTCTCTCCATCATTCTGTACGTGCAGTCATTAATCTTATCCTAAGACACGCTCTTTAACTAAGAAGTTACAGAACTCTAAAGGTTTTAAATTGCTTAGTTCTTGTTAAGGCAACCAGCCTTCTGATGGAGCTAAGACGTGAGAGCTCCTTCTTCCTAGATAGAATCACTACCAAAGTGGTTCCCTCGCTGTACACAAGTGTTTATATATCTTTGTTTGCTCACCAGCATGGTGTAGTGGTTAGGAGTGCAGACTCTAATCTCAGAGAACTGGGCTTCATTCCCCACTCCTCCACATGCAGCTGCTGGCATGACCTTGGGTCAGTCACAGTTCTTTCAGACCTGTTCTGGAAAGAGCAGTTATTGAAAGAGTTCTCTCAACCCTTCCTACCTCACAGGGTGTCTCTTGTGAGGAAGGGAAGAGAAAGGAGATTGTAAGCCACTCTGGGACTCCTTCGTGTAGTGAAGGGCAGGATATACAGCCAATCTCTTCTCTTCTTCTTTTGTGTCAAAGAACCCGTTCTTGAAAACTCTCCAACTTCCTAGGTCTCTACTCCCTTCTAGGTGTCACCTTCTACCTGGAGGAGTAAACTAACCATATTATTGTTTCTGGCCAGGGGGGCCATTAAGGTTTTTAAACACTTGCTGGGTGAGGGTGGAAAGCAATTTGCTTCCTTTTTCCTGCCTAGTTTCTGCTGAGACAGATGGGCTGAAGTATTTAAAACTAAAATCGAAGGTTTGCACAGTCCACATCTCTGAAGAAGTATATATTTCTTCACAGAGGGCTTAGTGACAGTATGGCCAACATTGTACACAGCTCCACGATTTCACAAGTAGATGTACAAAACGACATAGAAAACTTCACAATTACGGCTCATAATTTAAGATTATAATTTAGTCCATTCTTTTTAAGTAACTTTGTGATTTATTTTCTGCTCAGTTAAGGTTCATTTTCCTTAGTGTGGGGTCACAAACACCTTTTACCAAATGAACCTCAATGACGTCTCCTAGTACAGCTGCATGCTAACCTCACCATTTTAGATCGTCTTTGATGGGACTCCTGGCTGTGGATTAGTTATGGGGCAATATCAGTCAGTATATTATTTCCTTTAGTAGAGAGCTCCTGCCAACCTAGCAGTTCGAAAGCAAGAAATTGCAAGTAGATAAATAGGGACCACCTCGGTGGGAAGGTAACAGCATTCCGTGCGCCTCGGTGTTTAGTCATGCCGGCCACATGACCACGGAAATGTCTTCAGATAGTGCTGGCTCTTCGGCTTTGAAACGGAGATGAGCACCACAACCCTAGAGTCGGATTCGACTGGCTTTCGAGCAAGGGAACCTTTACCTTTTTAGACAACATATAAAACACCGAGTATATTCCTTGGAGATCCAGTTGGAATTACATAATGCACTCATCACTGCCACACCATGATAGATAGATGATAGATAGATAGATAGATAGATAGATAGATAGATAGATAGATAGATAGATAGATATAGATATAGCTATATCTCCAAACATGGACTTCAAGAATGGATGGACCTTCATCCAGTTCACTTAAAGATGCAAGGTTTTTTTTTGGGGGGGGGGGGTGTAGCGCAACAATAAGTCACAGATGTATCCTAGTGTTCTAAATCTACTCAAATACATATTCCAACAACAAGTTCATAATGTGATCTGTTTGCTCTGGTCATGAAAGAAAATACTGATGCTCTTCAAAACAATATTTTTACCCATGGAGATCTTTGTCAGGAGTCCACATGTGCCTTCTGTGACCTTACTAGCATACCCTGCATCACAGCAAACCCTGTCACAATTGCATTTATGGCACCGTTACCTCTAAACTACCCAGGGTTCCCCAAAGCATTGTTCCTGAGTCTGTGGGTAGTTCTGAAGGTGCACACATATGAGCATCGGAGCTTGCCAAAAATATGGACCCTGGAGGTTGCCGAAACAGACCATCTGTCTTCTCTGTGTATAATCTGCATCCCTCCGCCCCTGTAAGTATCAAAGTTCCCAACATTCCAGCATGTCCCAATATGGAGATCTTCTTTCTATCAATGCTCCTTTGACTTTCTGATGTGTGAATCTCCTTTAGCAGCAGTTTTCTGCAAAACACCTACTCTATCTTTCATGGCCCCTCTCCTGGGCCAAACTTCCTTTAAAGTGCAAACATATCTCTGAAAATCAGATTTATGGTCCTCTTCCTGGGCTACTCTCTGGGTTTCCAAACACATATTAATTTTGAAGTATCAGTATCAGCCATCAACCCTACATGCACCCTCCAGGATATACCCACT